TGTGTGAGTGTGTGTGTGTGTCCATGGGTGTCCATATAGCACAAGCATATGTACATGCAATCAGATAAGGGCGGTGGCGGATAAGCGACATCTCGGTCTGCGTGTTTGAAAGTACTAACAGAGTAGATAAATATGTGCACATGTATACATATATAGATAGGTGATAGAGTTTTTAAGCTCGCAGATACATAGAAGTGGTGGTCCAAGATACCCGCACAACATTCGACAGTGTCAACAGCCCCGACATGGCCAGATAGTGACACACCAATAAGTGCCAATGAATGAATTAGACCAATGCCGTTGCAGCTGAAAAAGCCTTAATAAACACAGACGAAAACACAAATGCGTTCCACACGATGGGAATTAAGCCTAGACTCTCCAAAAGGAAAACCTTCAAATCGGCAGAAAATCATGTCGATATTGGAAATTTCGAATCTGACACAAAAATACAAATTCGATATACACTACAGGAATCGATCCCGTGCGCTTAAGACAACAGGCCTTCAATTTGGCTGAAAACACACAATTTAGCAGAGAAAACAAACAATCTCAGCATGGATTACCCCCTAACCAGACATTGAACAATCCCTTACTTTGAAATAACCAAACAACACATTGAAATAACTAAAACAAAACCATCTCAAACCCTAAAACCCTTAAACTTACACGATGGACATTGAGGCGTTGCTTTTGGTCATGATGGACTTCATATTGGCTCTGGAGAGCACCTTTCGCAGCGCTGATCGGTTATTGATGTTCTTAAACGATGTTCGGCGCAGATTCGCCACACTCTCGCGGTATTCCTGGTTAGCCATGTCGGCCTCGTCATATATCTCACGGCAAATCATCTCCTCGATGCAGTCTTCCAGTGTGATGATACCTATAAGCGTGCGTTTATCTGTTGTGAGTTGAACACATGCATGATATCATGTGCTTGATTGCATACTCTATAGAAATGTACATAACTACATACGCATGATTGCATTTACGTAATGTTATATATATGTA